ATTAAATCACTCAAAAAACATCTATGTGAGTTCTGCTGTCACCTTATTGATTAGAATTTAAAAGAAATTAAAATGGAGAATAATTTCCGTGTGATTGTGGTAAGCCTGTTTAATATGGTGAAATACAAATCACTTGTGTTGTAAAAAGCAATCCCTTTTTCAGGGAAGTACTCAGTCTGCTCTTGATATGCATCTCTGATATTCTTTTTCCTTCTGGACTTACATTCTTCCATGATTTTTTTAAAGACTGGATGACTTTACATCATTCTTAGTCAAACTTTCTTGAGCAGAAAAAAAGAGACAAATGAGACACAATAAGGACAAAATAATTTGTAGAATTTTAGTGAAGGCTATCGTCCATGCTGAACTGCAATATCATAGGAAAATAACTTCAGTAGCTCTTGGCTAAACTCTGTTCCTACGGAACAATGTGGAGCACTTCTGTCAACTACTGAGAAAATAAAAAGGCTGCAGCCTTATGAAGTTGCAGCCTGATATATGGCCGCTCATAGAGGGTGTAATGGGAGAACACAAGATGGAAAGCTAAGCAAAAAGAAGGATTGGTCTCTAGGCCTTCTCCCTACCCAAAACCAGTACCTGCTGGGGGTTCTTATTTATTTTTGTGATCCTTATTTGTAAGTATAACAGTCTTGAGGGAAGAGATTCAAACTTACATGTTTTATTTTCTTTCCCTGGCATGTGAATAATCTGTCATCTTATTCTGTCCCCAAGTGTTGTGTTTCAGTGCTGGGAGAAGGTGTAACACCATCATCTGCAGTCATCCTGTGTGGCTGTCAGAGGTTGTCTGCCACCCCAGGGCCAGAAGAAATACAGCCAGGACTCTTCTCTGCCCAGGCTGAACTATAAAGAATTCAGATGGTCCTTGTGGCATGCAAAGCCCTATTTGAGAAAGTCATAAAGGAGGCAGGCAGGTGTAATAAACCTCAAGACAAAGTGCTGACTTTCCCTTCACAGGAGAGCAGGAAGGCAGCCTCAGGGGCTGGGCTGCAAGAAATTGTTTTGATGTGGTAGTTTGACCTAATTTTCTGTGTTTGAAAAGTAAAGCTGAGCCAAGAGACAAATTTGAGCTTGGTGGTAAATCCCTGAGAAGCATGAGATACCCAGCATGAATCGGAGACAATGTTTAGTTTAAACCCAACTGGGCATGTTGTGCTATGCTGAGCCTCTTTTCAGTCTGTGTGCATGACTGGAGCCTTGCAACAAAAGGTGGGGAAGGTAGTAAGAAACTAAACTAACAATTAAAAAGTACATTCATCCATCTATTGCTGTGCAATTTTATGCAAATCTTCCTGGTACAGTCAGTAACTAATTATATGAGGTTTTTATAGTAGTAGAAATTGAGAGCTTGGACAAAGAGATGGAAAGGTTTAGGTCAAGAGATATTTTAGCTAATAAGAATTGAACACAAAATAATTTGGATATGAACTCTTATATAGAATTGTAGAATTGTGTATGTGTTTATATATGTATATATTTGCACATGCTAATTATGATGTTTGAGCAATACCATTAAAAGTTTATAGGTCTGAGGCTTGTTCAAACTTCAACAAGTTGTTAACTGTTCAGATTTTTGCATAGATTTCTTCTGCTGAAGGATCCTGAAATAAAACAGGCAAGCATATTAAGGCCTAAATATGAATCTCAATTAAGAAGTATCAGTGGAGTATTCCAAAAGAGGAAGACTTTTTCTCCTCTTTATCAGCTGCTATTAGTTCTCATTAAGTATTTATCTGCATTGTCACCAGGCCTCGGAGCTCATTTTTAACTTGCTTTGTAAGCACCCAAGGGATGTAAGACTTGGAGTAGAAAGAGTACAGTGAATTAACGTGACAGATATTTATGGGGAACCACTCCCAAACATGAATCAGCATGAGAGAAAGCATGAATGTTCCACCTTGGAAAATGCTGTGGCCAAGTGATGGTTCAGTTGTTGTTTTGGGCTGCAGGATGGCATTTTCATTGGTTCACATGAAATGGGAGGGTGACAGATATGCCAAGAAAAGCTGTGAAGATAATTACCACACACTTTTTTTTTTTTTTTTTCTTTTTTTCTGGAATGGGGACAAAGGAGGTGCAAAAACTAAAGGGTGGGGAACGAAGCCTTGTGGAAATGTTCAGGAAGCATTGCAGTAGTAAACAGTACTTACTGGAACTTGGAATTACAGCTTAACAAGGGCAGTGAGACTTTAGTACAGCAACAATATGCTGGAGAACCTGCATGAATGCAGAGCATGGAGAGAAGCACAAGGAGAGATCTGCATGTCAGTATTGCTGCTCAGAACTGAAATACAGTCGCTTTTAACCAGAATGTTCCTATTGCATTATTTTTCAAACCAAGGCTCTCAAAAATCCTTGAGTGATTGTAGCTATGCTTTTAACCTTGTTGGCTTTGATCTAAGGTATAAAGAATATTTTTCCATGCAGGTAAGGCAGACCCTTCATAAACCATAGTGGGGAAAAAGAAGTGTAATTGCTCTTAACTTTTGCGGCAGGTTTCTGGTGCAGTAAAGCCTTGCAGGGATGTACCTATTTGTCAAGGCAGCTCGTGCCTGACAGCTTGTAGATCCTGTTGATCAAGTCAAGGACTGCAGCCAGAAGAATTGCTTGAAATTTTGTAGATACAGAAGTGCTACCCTGTGCTTTTAAAAGGTTGCTTCTAAGGGGTAGAATGAGAACAGTCTTGCAGTATAACAGATGCACATTTGTGGATAAATGTCAAGAATAGCAGTAATTCTCTTGAGAAGTGTGCAGCAGTGTTAGCACATCACTGCTTACAGCCAGCATTGCTGTAGCATTTTTTGGCTCTAAAATGTTAATGGGAAAAGATACCGTAGAAGGAAAACAACACAGAAATTATTTCCTCCTAAAACATTGAATGCATTTTATGTGTTGAACTGTAACAACTAAGCACACACCACATAATAGACAAGCTTTGATAGTTTTTTTAAAGCTCTTCAGATACATTTTTTTTAAATTGTGGTGTAGCTGTTTGTGTCTTGTGCTAATATTTATGCCCAGATTTGTCCTTGTTGCCCTCCTCTTTGCCTTTTCCTATCAAAATTAGGTTTTGGATATTTGAAAATCTACCTCTTTTCAGGAACAGGGATTGCTGCATATTTTTTAAATCTCTTTGAAGTTAATAATGAATGAACACAACTATTTTATTTTAAAGGTTTGTTTGGGTTTTTTGATTGAAAATTAAGTGTTACTCAAAATTTCTAGAAATTTGCCCTTAGTTGTACTCATGTTTAAGGATTTTGTTCCTGGCTTCCTGAAGTATGTCTAAGTAGTCTTCTTTTCTTTCGTGTTTGACAGTTAGCTTATTTAATAATATGACACATAGGATTTCAGGAAAACACTCCTAAAGTATTTAGAGAGTACATGTTACTGTAAAATGTGCTGTACAATTAGGTCTGTATTAAAATATTGGGAGAACAACCTGAATCTGAGATGATCCTAATGGTGAAAGAGAGATTAAATCAAAGATTTACAATGCTGGCCTGGAGGTGTTTGCTAACTACAGAAAATGTATACAGAGTGTTTCAGTACTATAATGATTTCCACATTATAGCTGGCTGAGAAGCATTACAATATGTGCAGTCCTAAATCCATTTCCTTGGATTATAAATTAGTTCACAATTATATGCTGACAGCAGAGCTGCACATTGCGTGTTCGTCTCTTGGGTAATGAGAACTGCATCTCTTGTGAATGCAGAATGCTGATAACAGCATTCAGAATCTGGCATGCTGCAGGCAGGCAACATGTAGGCTTTCACACACAAAATGCATCACTTTGAGTGCATTGAAGTACTGTTGAAAAATGCAGAAATGACATTTGATTTAAATGATTTAGAAAAAAAATTTATGGAGCTGTCATTTTTACTAATAACTTTCCTTACTAGAACTGAACTAGATACGTGATCACAAGCAGCTGTAAAAGAGACAAACGCCCAATAGTCTGAGAAGCTAATGAAAGAAAAGTATTTTAGTGCCCTAAATATACTTCATTTGCAGTACATATTTTGCAATATGTATGCAGTTGTATCACTGTGATAAGTCTAAATGCCTAACTAAAACTACTTTTGGCTGAGAGGCCCTTAAAGAAGCACATATTGCACTGAATTTTACAACATTCTCTATGCATCACGAGTTCTTAAACCTGCATCTAACTTTTTATAAATAAGAAAGAATCCCTTGGGAAAAAAGTTAATTCACACAGGAAAAAAACCAAAACATGTATTTAAGATTGACTTATATAGAAAAGCATAATCAATATATAATTCCAAAAAAGAATTAGAATCGCGGTTTTGAAATGTGTGTGAAAAAAAGTGACTTCATTTGCAAGAGCATGTATGTCTGTACATATCTATTTATCTTTCATGATATTCTCACAAATAGTATAAACAATAAGAGAGATTATTGAGTAGAGTCTTATAATGTCTTTCAAAAAAAAGAAAACTTTGTCCTAGCAGATCTAGGATGAAAGAAGTACTCTTGTTTTGTGGATTTTTTTTGATTGTTTTTGAAGCATGTCAGTCTTCAACAGAAACTGGTATAGTAAAATACTTCAGAGTCAGATGTTTTTCACTCTTTCTGTTTATAAATTACAGTCATTTTGAAATCTTTTTTCAAAGCTCTGAAATGTTTCTAGCCTCTAGCTCTCATTGACTTGGATGAATTAATATTGGAGTTCAGATGATAATTTATGTGAGTGCTTTTGAAAACAAATTTAGGTCAAATCCTGTTTCTGTAGGAGTATCCATTAACTCTGTCATTAGCTCCAGGAAATCTTTCTGTTCACAGCCTCTGTTCTTTAACTGACAATTAATTTTTTCAGACTGAGTCACCTGCCTTCATGTATGGAGTTGCCAAATAGTGTGCTTTCTTGAAGAAGCAAGGTTACTTTTTCATGCAATGCAAATGAATTCTGTAGAAATCTAGCATCTGAGTGATGGATTTACTTTTTGTTATTTTTCCAGGGAAATTCTGGCCTGGGGTTCAGTATTGCTGGAGGAACAGATAACCCACACATTGGGGATGATCCTGGGATATTCATTACTAAGATTATACCAGGAGGAGCTGCAGCAGAGGATGGAAGACTCAGGTAAAAACAAACTTATTACGTGTGTTTGGAAACAAAATGTGTAGTTATTATAATTGTTCTCTGGGAGCCACATGCCAGCTGGATCTTTCATGGGGTCAGGGAAAGCAAATGACATGACTGGAGTCTCCTTTCTGCTAAGACAGCTGATTGAAGGAGCTTAGAGTGACTGAATAAGGGTGGTTAAATCCTGCATGATAGAGAACATTTGATGGTGCCACCTCCTTCTTAGTACCAGGTATTTACTTTAGTGCAAAAGGTAAGATGGAGGGCAGCAGGAGGAAACCTGAATATCAGCATACAAGTCTTCTCTGCCCGGCCTTTGTGTGTTCATGACTCAAGAACTACACACTGGTGTTATGCATTAAGCTATCAAGACTTCCCAAGCTACAAAGCCATTTCTAAATAATCATAGCTATTTGTAGATGCTTCCTGTTATTTGGCTGCAGTAGTGAGATGTGTTTACTGCTGTTTCCAAACATTATTTTGTTCCATGAGGATGTGATGGCTGTGCTGTATGTTTTGAGTCATCTCCAGAGTGGTCTGCTGGTTTAGATTCAGAAAAAAACATACAAATCACTTGGTGGGGTTCTCAAATACATGGCAGCATCTTCCTTAAACAAGAGGAGCCACAGAAGTGCTCCTGTTTGTCTTTCCTTATGGACTGAATGCAGAAAGGCTTCCATCTATCACAGAGGCTGCCACCTTACTGTTGGTTGTGCAGCCTGCTAATGTTCCCAAAAAGCCAATTTAGCTGGAAAAACTTGGGATAAATTTTTGATGCTTTCATGGTCTCAGTGCTGAAATTGGCTCTGAGAGCCTTTGCCAAAAACAGATGGACTAAAATTCATGAAACGTACCGGATAGTAGCAACGTTTTTCCTGAAGCCTTTTCCTTTAATTCAAAGCGAAAAGTAAGGGGAATTGGCCAGTTTAAAGAGCAGGTTTGAGATATTTCTTGTGTTGCAGTAATAATTTGATTTTGGAAATTATGGGTTTTTTTTACTATGATAGTGATGAGGAGTCATGGTGGTTGGCAGTGCCTGAAGAATTTAGTTTTAACTAAGATTGCATGTAGAAGGAACGGAACTAATACCAAGCAACTTTATGACTAAAATGCAGCTATCTACCTCTAAGCTAGTCTCAAGAAAAGCCTAAGCATTTGTAGGTTGTGATTCATCTCATCCTAAAGTCAATGCCTAAAATAGAACAGAAGAATAAAAGAGCCTATATTTTCATTGGTGACTCAAATGAAAAGGAGTTTCTTTGCCTAGCCCAGCTGTATTGATCTGTACTGTAAATGTCTGCATTGGGCCAGGTGAGCTTCATGGAAAACACAGCATGAAGAAACAGCAGTGTTTGGAAATCATGCTATAGAATTAGACATGATGAATAACATAAAGAGGTTATAAACCTGAAACTACCTTTCCACTAAAAAGAGTTCCCTGCAAAAAAAAATGGTATCTTTTTAGTAGAATTTTTAATTACATATGAAAACTTTTTTGATTTAAGCTGTTAAGAAGACAGAAGAAATTGCAGTATTCTGCTGTCTTTGTAAAAAATCAAATATTTCATAACTCATCCCTGTATTAAATAACTACTGTAGGTTTAACTCGTGATTATGTTTGTGTTGTAAACCTCTTGGAAAGACCTTCTAAACTCACAAAAAGTAGCATACTAAGGCAATTCATTAATCGGTTTCAAGATCAGATGTGGCAAACTTGGTGTTTTGTAATAAAAGTTTAGTAGTTCAAGTATAGTTATCTTATTACTAAAACATATATAATGTTTTAAGCATATATTTGGTATGGTCATTCTTCCTACTCTCAGATTTTAGAAGGTCTCCTCCTTTCCTTGTTTTATCTGGCAAATGGGTCTTACTTTGCTGCACAGTCACAATTCCGTCACTTTTTACGAACGCCTGAAAATGTAGTTATCAGTGGTCATTACTGATATGCCACTGAAGGGCCATATCCTGGGGCAGTCTTCACTGACTTGCATGATAATTAATTTTTCATAACAGAGGGTTTATCAGCTAGGGCCACTCTGTAGGAACAAAAGCTTAACGACATGCAGTAACAACTATTAAGGGTAGTGATAACATAGGTTTCTTATCAAAAGCCCAATTTTTAATTGCCTAAGAATGAGAGACTGGTGTTTATAGACTGAAAAATATATACTTTTTTGGTCTGCTTTTCTTTTACGCTGCCTGCAGATACTCTACATTATGTAGCAGTGTGGGCTGTCTGAACTGGCTTCTATATCTGCTGTCTGGTTTTAATCATAAAAGCCTGTAAAATCACTTCCACTGCATTTTACATGACGTCCCTTTGATCTAACTTAGCTGAGTGAAGTTCTTCAAACAGCAAGACTATGAAAGCAACTTGTAAGAAATTGACTTCATGCACCAGACCCTTGGGAATATTTTACATGAATGCATGGGTTGACAGGGGAGGAGTAGTTCAACTGAAGTTTCACGTAAGTCCAACAAAAGCAAATGCAGCCTACTGCACCTGTGTGGTTGAACTGACTGGGGCTCCCGGGACGAGTGAAGAGCTCTGAATCTTGACTCCATGTTGCAGAAGGCTGATTTATTATATTATTATATACATTATATTAAAATGCTATACTAAAAACTATACTAAAAGAATAAAGAGAAAATAATCCATTAGAAGGCTAGAAAGGACAGGAGAGGAATGAATAACAAAAGCTCGTGACTCTCAGAGAGTCGGAGCCAGCTGACTGTGATTGGCCATTAATTAGAAACAGCCAACATTCACCAATCACAGGTGCACCTGTTGCATTCCACAGCACCAGATAGTTATTGTTTACATTTCTTTCCTGAGGCTTCTCAGCTAGAATAGGAGAAAAATCCTAGCAAAGGATTTTTTATAAAATATCATGGCTAAACACCTGAGAAGGCATAACTCTCCGGTGGTAGATGTATAGACTTTTATCAGTAGTGTCCAGTGACAGGGCAAGAAGCAATGGACAACGAGCACATGAAATTTCATCTTATCAGGAAACTCTTTTTTTTATGGTAAGGGTTACTGGACACAGGTACCTCAGAGAAGTTGTGGGATGTCCACCCTTGGAGATATTTAAAACCTGACTAAACATGTTCCTGAACAACCTGAAGCAAGTAAACTTGCTTCAGTGGAGAGGGTTTGACAATGTGCTCTCAAGAGGTGCTTTCCAACTTAAATGACAATGTGATTCTTAAATTTGGCCTCAGCCAGCAGTGTGCTCTAGCAGCACTGAACACTGGCTTTGAGGTGAGCAGAGATGCACAAAGAAATGACTGTTAGCAGATGTCACATGTTGTAATAAGGAAACTTCCAGTTGTGTCTGAGGATAAAAAAATCTTTTTAATGTAACTGGTGATTCCGTGAGATTATGGAATCTCTCTTCTCCAAGAGGTTCAAAATTCATCTGGATAAATTCCTAATCTATATAATTGAACTTTCAAATTGGTCCTGCTTTGGGCAGGAGATTGGACTAAATTACCTCCAAAGGTCCCTTCCAGCCTGAATTGTTCTCCAAATCTGCAGGTTACTCTTGTGAATAAAACCTGAGTGTGAGACTGAAACAAAGGTGATTGAATTCCTGGGGTTTTCCTTTAGTGGAGAACAATACTTCTATTGACAACAGGTACCATGCATAGTGCAGGTTCGCATCACTTCATGACCCATATCTCTGCTTAAAAAATAGCAATAATTATCAACCACTTTAGCCTTCACTCATCTTAATAAAAAATGTCATTTTTTGAGAGACTCCCTGAACTTTCAAAAATCAGAGATGCACAGAGCCACTGCAATCTCAGTTTGGAAGGGACCCAACTTGATAAGCATAGTTGAGTCCAACTCCCTGCTTACTTCAGGACTACTACTAAAACTAACTCATGTAACTGAGAGCATTGTCCAGATGCTTCTTGAGCTCTGTCAGGTGTGGTGCCACAACCATTTCACTGGGAAGCCTCTTGCAGGGATGAACCACGCTCTAAGTGGAGAATCTTTTCCTCATGTCTAGTCTGAATTTCTGCAGAGCAGCTTAATTCCTTTCCCTCATGTCCTATTGCTGGTCACCAGAGATGGGTGATCAGGTCTCCTCAACGAAGTACTAATGGATATGTTTATGTACTACTCTCCCTGAAATGCCCTGGCCTGTAGAACTAGTGTGAGAACTATCACACTGCACAACTCAGATTTTAGAAGACATTTAGGTCAGTACACTATCACCTCATCTTGCAAAATAAAGCTGTGAATATAGTATAAGTTTATATGTAGTAAATAATATAAAATATATAATTTGATGGAATTTTAAGAACAATTTTAGATGTAATTATTTAGCTAAATAGGACTATAATAACCTTGGAACTAAATGGAGATTATTTTTTTCTCTGAATGCTTCATGCCGTGTTTTTCTGAAGATTGGGGGTTCAAGTCAGGGATAGACAGAGAATATAAACCCTCTGAAAGCAGCAGTCATTCCCACTGAGTTGAAGGAGAATTTCTCTCAACAGTTTGATCTTTTAAGACTTTTGATGCATAAAAACTTCTTCTACTCTCTCGTTAATGTTGGTTGTCCATGGGCAAACGTCTACTTTTTAATAAAGAAGCACTGAATTTGGACTTTTTTTCTCTGGAAGAAAAAGAATTCCAGTACTTATGGCTCAGGGCCTTTTTTTGTTTTATTTACATTTGTGTCAGAGAAAATAAAACAGTGTTTGTTTCAGTTGCCTACATAAAGGAAAGAACTTCAGTATAATATTCAGTAGTTACTTCTTTTGGCTTATTAATCATAAGTAAACCTCTGGCTTCTGAAAGGTAACACATATAAGACCATTCATCATTCTGTGAGAACAAGAGTGATCAGCTTATGGAACTAGAAGCACAGTTTAGTGGCAGAACTTTATTGGGGGATGAAAATTACTAAAATAATGATGCAAAACTTTCAATTATATCAAGTATAAAAGCACAGACTCACAAAATATTAATAGATTTT